CAGAGCGTGGGAGGCATGACTCCTCCCATGCTACTGTGTGAACAGAGGCAAATGGCACTGTCCTGATGCTCTCCATGTCACAATTCTCGCTCGCACCTCGTACATCATTTGATAAACCTTAAATTTTTGGAGCGAACACCAGAAGATCGCAGGCCAGAACCAGGCCAGAGAACCAGCTGTGTGGACGTCAAAATACGGCGAAAGATATCCAAATACAGCTGCAAAAGGAAGTCCATCCAAAATGTCAAAAAAAAAGAACACAAGGTAATAGACGGCGTCTCGCGTGCGAGACAGGTCTTTAGCTGTTCGCTGGGCGAGACAAGACTTTTACTAGTAATCGCCCAAGGGTGAGAGCAGTGCTTCACTGTCTCGCGCGTGCGAGCAGAATTTATGTCTCGCACAGTGAGACAGGGGGCGCTCTCAGAGGGTAAAAACTAGCTTTGGCCATAACCGCCACACGTGGCCACGTTAAACATGTTCAAGAACGTGAGAAGCGTCGTGGGGCGGAGATCACGTTTGATTAACTACCAAATAACGGAGTTTGAAACCGTGAAAGGCAGTTACAAGCGAAAACCTGCCAGGAAATCATTCTATATTGCCGAGACAGTGTTTTATCTGTCTCGCAGGGCCGAGACGCTGAGACAGCAAACACTGTCTCGCCCACCGAGACAGCAAACACTGTCTCGACAGCCGAGACAACAAATGCTATCTCGCGAGCTTGTTTTCCGCCAACTGTTCCTAGGGGCTATAAATACCCCCCGAAGGCCATTGTTAAGGGGCTGATCATTTTGAGCACTTCAGAGCAGACAGAGCAGAGTTCTTGAGCTTCCGGCAATCCCTTGAGATTCGAGCTTTGACTTGATTTCAAGAAGAACGACTATCTTACTTTGATAAGATATCGGGAAGAATCATTAAACCCCTTACGATTCAATCAGAATCTGTGATTTGGTGGTCCACGAGTCAAAGCGCTCCCGGCACAGGCAAAGATCCCACGCAAGCAGCGATCCAAACAACGATCCTGCGTTTGTTTCTCAAGAGTTGTAATTTTTCCTTTTGTTGTGTAAAATGAGTCTTATAAAAAGGCTATCTCTTTTTTGAATTTATTGTAATCGACCGAAGATATAATGAATTCCATGACAAAGTCAACTTTTGACGCAAACAAGCTGGCGACCACAGTGGGAGCCAACGGTCTCGCTGCCGAGACCGTCGTGTCGCAGCCAACCATCAAGATCCCGGTTGAATCAACGGTCGAGTACGAGTTCGACCAAGCGAAGTTTGAGGAGTATTTGTCATCCTCATCCTCAAAGTCTTCCTCGCCTCACAAATGCAGGAAGATTTTATCTTCTAAGCCTTGCAAATGCAGGAAGATTTCATCTTTGTTGAAGTTGTCAAACACTACAGATGAAGACTCTCGCTTAATTATTGCTGAGGATTCTACTCGCAACCTCTCTGCTCATAATGACTCTTCTCCAATAAAGGAGTCATTAAATCAAAGCCCGACGGCATTGACGAAAACTGCTCGTCAGAGACAACGTCAACGCCGCGCTCGCCAAATGGCTAAGGCCTTGGAACAACCCGACAGAGTTCGTTATCATGCGGACTTAGAGTCGAGGAGGCATCGAGTGGTTCAGTTGTTTCAACGACCAATCACTCATGTCTCTGCTAAACTCACGACGGAGGAATGGACTATTGTCAAAAGGGCTCGTTCGACCCTCAAAGAACGTATACAAAAACGTCGTGCAAACGCTGCTCATGCCCGTGCTCTCTTACAACAAAGACGAGAAAGGAAGAAGGAAACGGTGGCCAAAGAACCACCGAAACTCTGCCAAGTTTGGATTCCAAAGTCTAGAGTTGTGAAAAAGCAGCATTCGGAGCCCGTTAAGACTCCACACCCGCAAGGGAGTGGTTCTAAATGTATGACTCTTGACATAACCTTGGATCGCTCAGAGGCGACGACAAGTCATCCTGGGTATGTTAACAAGGTTCAAACACAAAAACAGAAGATAGGTTGCTCTGGTCACCATGCTGACGAGTTGTACTATCAAACTAAAGGTGGAAACAAATCACATAAAAGGACTGTTCGAGAAACGAATCGTCATTGTGTATGTGAAAAACTTATCAAAGCAGTGTTGTCCAAATGCAACTGCTTTAAAGCCATTCCGCCGAAAGTTTGAAATGAATCGTCATTGTGTATGTGAAAAACTTATCAAAGCAGTATTGTCCAAATGCAACTGCTTTAAAGCCATTCCGCCGAAAGTTTCTGTGTTCCAAAGACTTTCTACTGAAATGTCAAAGCCCAAACCGAGACGTTTCAACAAGAAGCTTGCTATTCAAGAGGATGAATTTCCTGAAGTCACCATCAACATGGCTGATAAAGGAAAATCTAAGTGGCATTCAAGTGAACCAAACCCCGACTTTTCCCCGGGAGGAAAAGTCGATTCAAGAATTGCCCGACGGATGTCTCGACTCCAGTTAGAAGCTATCAGGCGTAAAGACTACAAGAGAATGCATAAAGGAATGTCATCAGAGGATGAGCTCTCGGACACTTGTTCTGCGATCACTTCGGATGATACATCATCTAGCATAGGGCAAACCAGAGAAGTACTCACAATCACCTCTGATCAATTCGCTCAAATGCTTCAAGAAGCTCTAGCCAAACAACGTGAAGAAATTAGAGCTGAAATGAAGACACTGAGATGAGATTCTTCCGCAAGCCGGGAACGTGTCGTACGTCCGTCAGGGTTCGGACCACTCCATCATGCATCTTGATCTTGATATCACCTAGCCCCATCATTTTACAAGCATGGTTGTTCTCCATCAGTACGGTTCCACCATCAATGCTCCTGTAGGTAGTAAACCACTTCCTGTTTGGACACATGTGGTAAGAGCAACCAGAATCAAGAATCCACTTCCCGGAGGTATCCTCGCCATCCGTGACGACATAACATTCCTTATCGCTCCCATCCTCTGAAGCGTAGCTCGCCTCTTCCTTGCCTTCTCGTCTTTCAGTCTTGTTGTTCTTTTTCCCACCTACTCTCTTGTTAGGACAATTGACATTGAAATGCCTAACTTCACCGTATTTGAAACACGCTCGTCCCGCAAGAGGTCTCGATTTAGATCTAGACTTTCCTCCCTTGCCTTTTCCTCGCTCATTGCCTCTTCCTCTGGCAAATAGTCCCTACGCTTGTTCTTTGTTACCACCAGTGGCCATATCACTAGTTGCAATTTTTTGAAGATCATCTGCTAGAAGTGTCGTTCTAGTTTCATCCATCGATAAAGTATCACCCACAAGCATCAGTGTTTGTACCAGGTTCTCATAAGACTTCGGCAGAGATAGAAGTAGTAGAAGCGCCTGATCCTCGTCTTCCACTGTCACCTCAATGTCTTTCAAATCCGATATGATCCTATCGAACTTGTTGATGTACTCCCGGATTGACGAGCCCTCCTCCATCTTGCAAGTATACAATTTGGATTTTAAATAGATCCGGTTCGTTAGACTCTTCGTCATGAAGGTGCTTTCTAACTTCAACCACACACCCGCAGCCGTTTCCTCCCCGTCTACCAAGAAAGCTACATCCCTCTCAAGGCATAGGATAATCGACGCTCGTGCTTCCAGATCCAGCTCCTCCAAATCCTCATCAGACATATTTTTTGCAATTTCTGCGAAATCAACGAGTTCTTCATCTGCATCCTCCAATAGGAAAAATCATTTTTCCCATTGAATTTTTCAATCTCGTACTTTCCAATTTTATTTGTTTTACTTGTAGACGCCATTTTCTGCTTGTATTATGTAAATCCTCTTCTCTCAGGAATTTTAACAATTTTTTTGTGTTCACCATACAATAGTCAACCACCACCTCAGATTAATAGCTTAACCACCGCCAATCTGAATAAGGGCTCTGATACCAATTGTTGGGGGCAGAGTCACGCCCACCGTCGCGGAAGCGATATCACCTGAGAGAGAGCCCTGGCTTTCGTTATCACAAAAACACAAGTCAACCTCTATAGTTATCACAAAAACACAAGTCAACCTCTATATTCTTGTTTCTCAAAGGAAACGAGAATAGATAATGAAATTCTTATTTCTCAAAGGAAACAAGAATTGAAAGTGATATATTTCATCAAAGTGAAATATACACTCTTCCTCTCATTAGTTCAAGGACTGAAATATCGAGGGAACCTACAAGCTATGGCAACGCACAGATAAGACAAATACAAACACGGGATTTTACGTGGTTCGGCTAACTAGCCTACGTCCACGGGAGGAGGTTTCACTATGGAGGAAAAATACCAAACTTATACAAGTTCTCTCTTTCTCTCTTTCTTTTCTCTCAAAAATCCACTTAAGATTTTTCCCACACCTTTCCTCTCCTCCCTACCTCTCCTTTTATAGGCAAGAGAAGAGATGGGAGTGCCCTGCTGTCTCCAGCTGGAGGAAGGGAGCACGGAAGAAAAAAGGGGCCGAAATGGGAGCATGGGGTCTTGTCCTATCTCCCCACGTTCCCACACACAGAGCGTGGGAGCATGACCCTCCCCATGCTACTGTGTGAACAGAGGCATGGCACTGTCCTGTGCCTCTCCATGTACACATATATGTATACGAATTTGAGGTACATCGAAGACTAAGGTTTTAGAAATCTACAATCCTATATTAAGACCCCGTTTGGATCCAGTTTTTGAGGGAAAGCTGCCAAAAAGCTGACATATTTGGTAGCTTTCCCCCCTTTTACCCATTCAAAAAACTGATCCAAACAGCCCCTAATAACATTACAATTAGAAAACCACTGTTCCTTTGTCCGCGGTTGAAGGCCAAAAGACTAAACCATGCATATATCGATATTACTGGCTATTTCCTTTTCGATTGTCGAGTGATCAAAGTGAGCTAACCTGCATTTCGATGGCTAATTATCAGTGGATTATGATCTTAAGCCCGACTTGCCATGTTGACAATAGACTAAGAGCTATCCCAAAGGCTTAGAGCATTTTAAGTACTAAGTGTGTGATGAGATTGTATAATTTCCTCTTCTTCTTCTTTTTTGGCTATCTTATCCAACAAAATATAAGTACGGTTGTCCTAAGGATAAAATAGCTTAGCATACAGTAACTCATTCCAAGTATCCTGTAACCCTGGCAAACACCAATGAACGCAATCAGCATAGCTCTTGGGGTTTGCCAGCTGCTCAGGTGTCAGCTTATTCCACTGTTTCTTGTATATCGCAGTGTGCGCATCCTTTCGGTACTCCGATAGCTGCGTTATGTTGACGACCGTGATGGGGACCTTTGATCTCTCGAGAGTTCGCTTCAGTACTCGCATTATGTTTTTCCTTGAGCCACCCCCCCAGTATGTCGGGTCCTCTATCGGAGTTGTTTCGTTCAGGCAGTTGCCAGTAGGATCACCTCCCCATTCTTTGCTCCTGCGAAAATTATTTGGACAGTGTTACTACTTAGGTATGATATAATGTTGCATATAACCGAAGTTTGAGTATGTCCATGTGTTTGGAGCTTGGGAACAAAACATTGCGATGCTACACATTGAAATAGATGATTTATTAGTCTTACACAATCAAGAAGTACATGAGATTATACTCTGGCTGATACTTTCCCCTACTTTGTAATTACTTAAATATCGGAAAAACCTATAAGTTCGGATAATTGTTGGATAACCCCCCATAACTTTGAAAATATTAGACAAACCCCTCTTTAGTTTAGGGATTATCAGAACACCCCAATTCCCCGTCTCCCCGTCCCCCACCCCCAGCCCCACCCTTTTTCTTCTACATTTCAAATTTAAGAAAACATTCCTACTTGTAAAATCTCAAAGTTAAAAGTTATGGGGGGTTATCCAATAATCGTCCACAGTTAAGGTGGGAGGAGTTGGGGGATGTTTCTAATATTTAGCCTTTTCAATTCCCTAAATTGTTTTTTATAACACTTATATACCCAGAAGTTTTAAAAATTATCTGAAATGACATTTACATTCTGTTATGCAAATGTGAGAATATTTTCGTGAATATTCTCATGTGACACTCACATGCTAATTTTAGAATTGTTTACCACTTAGTATTTGCTGATTTATTGTTAAATCTATCCTAATTCTATCTCAAATCTAGCTAGCTAATTAAGAAACAATCAAACTAAGTGTATCTTAAAAAGTCAATGAAAAATCTAAGCTATACGGGAAAAAAAATTACTCACTTCTCATGAGTAGGTGACATGCTAGTAAAGAAAACTCTGGTCGTATTAGGATCCATGTTCTTCTCCACCCATCTCACCATTCTAGTCAACGCCACTCTGTATGCATCCTCGGTCTCCATCATCTCAAAATTCTTCATGTCACCTGAGAAAGGCCCTGTCCTGTAATATTCCACCACAAAACCAACTTTTGAACATAAGACATCATAAATTTAAGCGTAATCGCACATTGACCCCCTCTAATCACTATTTTGGACTTACTAAACCTCAACTTTCATTCTTGCAGATAGGCCACCCACAATTAAATTTGAGTACAAAAAATTAAACCAAGAGGGTCTATCCGGCCACAAAACAATGAAACTACACGGGTAGTAAGTTCAAAACGATGATAACAGGGGGTCTATATGCAATTAAACCCAATTTGAAAGTAGAATGAGCTTTTGGGAAGAAAATTTACAGGACTTTCATCGGCACACCAGTCATCCACCAGAGGTAAGTATTGAAGACCATAATATCAGCTCCCTTCCAATGTCGTGCATGCTTATGTATGGATCTACCTCTAACAATTCTATCTGTTACTCGATGCACAATTGCGTTGTCTGAGTTTGATTCGACTAGAAAGGGAGCCCAATAGAATTCAATGGTGGCATTGTAGTCCTAAATGCACGTAACAGTTCAATCTTTAGTATGTTCCTTACCAAGTAAATTTGGCTTTTGAGTGAAAAAGAAATGATATTTACCATTGCACTGAAGACGGTGAGGGATTCAATAGTTTTTATTGATTTTCGATCCTTAGGGATCACTCCTTGTAGGAGGCACACTAAGGATATGAATTGGCCACGATTTAGAGAATCGCCAGTGAACACCATTCTTTTTCCTCGAAGATTTTCAAGCATGAAGGTTGCGTTGAAGCTATCATTTCAACAAAGATGAAAAGGGTGAGAGGCAGTTAATATTAAAGAAGTTGGGGATAAATATTGATGATTTTACTCTTGACTTGAGAATGTTGTAAACGGTATATACCCGTTCGAGACAATTACATGAGGCTGAACAGAGACTTTGAACAAAATGTTTTCACATGGAGGCTAGAGTATTATTGGTTCTTTTAAGTTGGTACTTGGTTAGTTCTAAAAGATTCTAGTGGCAAGAAATTAATTAAGTAGATCTAAATAACTTGATTCAGTCAACTAAAGAAAATAGCCGAATCATAATGGTGGTTACGTTACCTTCTCCCACTAAGAATTGTTTTTCTCTTGTAGTTGGTCGTACCGGCCATGTTTGTTTTCCTATGATGCAAAATCAAAGCCTACCACTTCCTTCTTAGTTTCGAAGAAATTGTACAGCTCCTTCAATCAAGTTGTTTGCACTAATCTCACATTGTCATTTTGATTGTAATTGCAGTTATATATTATGATAACAAAAAAATTGTTTCTGATTCAGATTCATGACTTTTTTAAAAAATTCTGTCTATCTGGAGGTCATTACCATTTTGGTAACAAAGAGAAAATTGCAACAAATGGGGTGGGGGGTGCACAGTGAAACAAATGTCAGAAATAAACTATTTCAAACATTGAGTAAGATTTACTGCACAAATCCAGATTTATTCATCTGAAAATGTGACAAATCATCCAACAACAATTTTTGGAGAGAGAATTACAGCTCAATGATTACTGTTAATTGATAGATGATTAATCAGACAAAACTTGCGCACTTGATAACGCTATATTTCTATTCCAAGATAACTTTTCCTACAACTAGCCACAATTCAATTTTCAGACAATACTTACACCTGAATTGATCATGACTACCTTGGATAACTTAAAAAAAAAAAAAAAAAAAAAAAAAAAAACATGAATCAAATAGTACTCAGCAAAGAATTTTCATACCTAGGCAAAGAACATCCATGAGGTTGCCATCTCCAATGCATATAGCCTCTATCAGGTCTCCCAAAAGTCTGGCAAGTGAGCTGAGGTTGTATATAAGGACACTCCTCCTCTTTATAAAAAGGCCGAGACTCTTCATCATAAACCCATCTTCCCTCAAAAATATTGCATCCTTCCTCATTTCTCCCAATGGCAAATGGAAACTTAACCTCTTTTTGTATATTATCACCATGTGGCGATAGTAGCTCTTCTGACTGTTGAGAGTTAACAAACGAGTGGCGAACTATGCAACTAAAATCCTCCCCATAGAGAATTGTGACGAAGAGAATGAAGGATATCGCAATTACGTAGAAAGAGAATGAAGGGGTTAACGAAATGTTTTTCCGATTGGAAGAGGATGAGGATGGAGATTTCATTTTTGAGCTCTTTGGTTTGAGAGAGGGGGGAGAGAGAGAGAGAGAGAGAGAGAGAGAGAGAGAGAGAGAGAGAGAGAGAGAGAGAGGGAGAGAGAGAGAGAGAGAGAGAGAGAGAGAGAGAGAGAGAGAGAGAGAGAGAGGCCTAGTATGAAGCTTCAGAGGAGTGTATTATAAGCAAAGGTTTTTCAAATATTGCATTGAGACATTTGGAATTAGGTCATAAATCAAGTGTAACTATCATTAGGTCTGCTCTCTAATTAAATATGTCACCTAACTACCTGCTACCTTTTTTATTCTATAGTATGTATGTGTACTTCATGCTATTTGTTTTGTGTATTGAGGTGGGAAAAAAGGTTATTTGAAATGTTTTTAGTCATTAATGTATGTATATAAAAAAATGAGGTAGGCGTTATAAAAGGAAAACTACTGTATAAATTTTGATGCCATCATCCAATCATGACATGAAAGTGAATGTTGAGATGTGGACGTTCTGTAATTTTTAAACATGTGTTTCAATGTACCATTTTATTATGAGAGATAAGATAATCATCTTGATCGTGAGATTTGGGGTACACTTGAGATTAATATTTGACAAACAATCTGAGATTTGGGGTACACTTGAGATTAATATTTGACAAACAATCCATCATTCTTCTCGTCATGATACATGTTTTAGGCCAAAAGAGAACCATATTGTAAATATACGCATCTTCTTCTTGTTTATTTTTCCAATATTTTTGCACTCGTATATTTTGATCTATCTGTATCCTTTTGGACTTTACTATGTCAGTATTATATATTGCAAGGAGGTTTAGTATCAACCCAAGCTTAAGAGGGAAAATACTCGGTGACCTAACCGTATGGATAAGAACTCTAGGAGTTGAATCGATCAAAGAAGTAGACTAGCTTTACATACATTTCTTAATTCCCTTTAGCTGTGAATGAGTCATATACGTAACAACTCTAGAACTTTAAACAATGAAAATTAGTAGCACATGATGTAATTTGGTGCACTTTCTTTTAATTAAGGCCTCTCTTGTACCTCATTCACCATGTCACAAATAGAGTTGGCAGTTATTATTTCTTTATGTAGAAGAAAGAAACATTTAGAACCATATAAAAGTTGCATGTCATTTTCTAGCTGTTGAGTGAAAGGAAAATGTGCGGTTAGGTGGAGAGAGAACGTGAAGGATTGGTCATTTAAAAAAAAATAATTATATGAATAAATGATTATATGGATTCAGCTGAGGTTTCAGTGTCAACTTTTAGAGAGCAGTTGAGGGAGTTGAGTTGAGTATATTTTAAGGGTTTGCTGAATGCTTTATAAGTGTTAGTTAGGATTAAACTGTTATGATTAAGATAGAGAAATTTGTAGAACAGCCTGTGAAGGGAAATAATATAAGTGAGCAAATGAGACAGGTTGGTATAAGTAAGCAAAAGGTGGGGTTCAATGTGAGAACAAGAGAGCATTTTTTTTTAATTTTTAACGAATAGGGAGTGGTGTGATGATGATTCTAAGTTTTCGGTGTTAAGTAAGATTCTGGATGCCCTGTTTATGTGATTAGTTTATGATTTCTTGAGAGAATGGTTCAAAAGGGACCTGCCTAGATTAGAGAATATTGGCCTTTTTTATTCTTCTTGTTCTTCTTCTTCTTCATATTTTTTTTTTATTTTCTTAAGATTTTTTTTATATTTTTTAATTTTTTTTATTGATACTCTGTTTAGATAAAGAACTTTTACCCGTAGCTTATTGCAGAGACTGTTTGTTTTCATTCCTGCAACTTGTGTAACATTTGAGGACATTCTGTTTTTTATAATTACATATTTTTTAAAAACTTTTTATTGAGGAATCCGAGGTGCGCGAGCCCTGCTATATGTCACGCAAAGATGGGCACGCAGCCTATCTCGCGTGAGAGGGATAGGGGATGGGACCCACAGCAGGAAGTGGGTCCCACCCCCTATCCCTTCTCACGTGAGATGGGCTGCGTGGCCATCTTCGCGTGACAAATAGAGTTTTTGTACTCCCATCGTTGTTCTAAAAAAAAATCTTTTGCGCGCTTGGTTTTTATGTGGGATCAATACAAGGGTATTTGAGAGAATTAGTTTGAGATCGGATGTAGATGTAAACTTATTGGTTTTGTATAATGTGGGTCTTGAACTCCCTCTAATCAATACACTGAAACACGGGAAAATTGAGTGTTATATTTTTATATTCTAACATTCACCTGCAGGTTGAGCGTTATATTTTTATATTTTAACATGCCCCCACAAGTTGAGCGTTATATTTTTATATTTTTATATTTTTATGTTCTAATATAGACTCGCGGAGCGATGTCAAGTTTTAGAATATCCACTTCAAATTCATGTCCACTGTGATTTAAACCGTGATTGCTCTGATAGCATCTTATAGTTCATCTAACCGTTACACTAAAATCCTAAAGTTATGGTAAGAATTAAGGGTTATTGTTTCAAGTTGGTCATCTTTTTAGGGCTTGAAATCTAAATTTTTTTAAAAAATTAACACAAATGCGTGAGTCTAGCTTTCGGGCCACAAAAACGGTGCTCAACCTACAGGGGGCATGTTAGAATATAAAAATATAGCCTTCAACTCTCACTACAAGTTTAAAGTTTTGTTGTATTGGTTAGACGAACTTTAAGATGATATAAGAGCATCCATGTTCAAAACCCACCGGTCATGAAATTTAAAATGGATTTTCTAAAATTTGACACCGGATTTTCTAAAATTTGATACCCCAGACTAAGTCCAAGTTTCAGCCCCCAACCCTTAACTCTTACCATATCTTCATAACTTAAGAGTGTGTATGGCGTATCTAATGTAAATTTGATTTGTTGCCACTCCTTGAAATATTTATTTTAAACTAACATAAGTGTCTTTCTCACGATTCTTCTTGAGCCAAAAAATAATATAGATTTTCTAAAGGCTGCCACTCCTTACTGCCTGATCCAGAGGTAATATCCAATGGCCCTTTGCTCTCACCTGAACAAAGAAATATGCTCAGCTCTCTTGTCACTAGGGAGGAAATTAAACAAGCAGTTTTCTCCATGCCTAATGAAAAAAGTCCTGGACCAGATGGCTTCAGTGCTTATTTCTTCAAAGCTTCCTGGAGCATTATTGAAGAGGAGCTTTATGAAGCAATTGAAGAATTCTTTAATTCTGGCAAAAAGTTGGGTACATTCAATTCCACAGCTATCACTCTGATTCTTAAAGTGCTCAATCCTCAAAATGCAACAGATTTTAGGCCAATTGCTTGTTGTAATTGTGTTTACAAAATCATTTCAAAAATCATTGCAAGGAGGATTCAGAAGATCATGGGATACTTGATTAGTGATGCCCAAAGTGCATTTGTGAAGGGGAGGCTTATCTCCAGCAATATTCTTCTAGCTCATGATCTCATCAAACATTACACCATGAAAAATACATCTTGAAGAGCTATTCTAAATATTGATTTGAGGAAAGCTTTCGACACAATAAACTGGCAATTCCTCAGAAGTATGTTGACAGGGTTAGGGTTTCCTGATAATATGATTGGATGGATAATGGAATGCATTTCTACTCCAAAATACTCTCTGTCTATCAATGGAACTTTGTATGGATATTTTCAAGGTGCAAGAGGATTAAGGAAAGGTGATCCTATGTCTCCATATCTTTTTGTAATCGACTTGGAATATTTATCGAGGAAGTTGGATACTCTCAAGGGTGATAGGCTCTATAAATTTCATCCTAAAATGCAATAGATTGAAAATTTCACACCTGGTTTTTGCAGATGACCTCCTGCTTTTTGGTAAAGCAGATATGAGCTCAGTTACAAGATTAAATGAGTGTCTCATGGAGTTTAGCCAAGTTTCAGGTTTGGAACCAAATCCTACTAAATGCTCAATGTTCTTGAGTGGTATTGATGAGGTTTTAAAAGCTCAAATATGCTCATATCTCAAATTCTCTGAAGGGGTTCTACCTATGAGATACATGGGTGTTCCTCTTATCTCAAAAAAGATTTTCTTGGCTTGATTGTTCTCCTCTTATAAGCAGAATCTCCTCTCAGTTTCAAAATTGGCAGAATAACAAAACTCTATCTTATGCAGGGAGATTACAATGGATCAAGTCAGTTATCTTAGGGATTCAAATGTTTTGGACAAGTAATTACATACTACCAATTAAAGTACTAGAGAAGATTGATAAGATGTGTGCTGATTTCCTTTGGGGTCATAAAATGCACTTGGTGGCATGGTCTGCTATTTGTCAAGATCATAATCAAGGTGGCTTGGGGGTATATTTAGCAAAATTTTGTAATTATGCTTCTGCTGCTAAGCTGCTTTGGATGATACATAATAAGAAAGACATTCTGTGGATTAAATGGATACATGGAAACTATTTGAGGCAGAATAATGTTTGGCAAGTGCAAAACAGAGAAAGTGACTCTTGGATGTGGAAACAAAATCTAAAAGTTAGGGATTTGTTAGCATTGAAGCTTGGCAATACTGATAATCTTCTTTCTGTCATCAATAGCTGTTGTACCGGTGATAAATCCAGCATTTTTTCTATGTATAAGAGATTAAACCAGCAGGTTCCTTCAACAGCAATATCAGGGACTATCTGGGGTGGTTGACACTACCCTAAGCATTCCTTCATCTTGTGGTTGGCTTCCATCTCAAGGTTGTTAACTCAAGATAGATTGTGCAGAATGAGGATCCTTAATTCAAATCAGTGTGTGCTATGCACTGATATCAATCAAAGAGAAACCTGCAGTCACTTATTCTTTGACTGTGAATACTCAGCGACAGTTTGGAATAAAGCAATGGACTGGGTTGGCTTCAATTGGAAATCGTGTAGCTGGCATCATCTTTCATCCTGGTTTAGTATGAGCTTGAGAGGGATTGGTTTCAAAGCAAAGCTTAAAAGGATGGTTTTATCAGCGCCAGTTTATATGCTCTGGTAGGAAAGGAACCTTAGGCTTTTTCAGGGACATGCACGAGATTCTGATACTCTCTTTCGTACACTGAAGTTTAGCATATACTCTAAGCTTTTGAATGTAAAAATCCCAATTCATGTAAAGGAATATATTGAGAGACTGCCTTAAGGAATTGGAGCCATAACAGGCTCTGGTTGAATATTTAGAAATGTAATTCATTTTCATATTTGGTAATGAATAAAAATATTTTCATTGACCAAAAAAATATATATAGATGAATTCATTGACATTAAAATTGACCTCTCAACCAATTCTTTTTTTTTTCTTTTTTCTTTTTTCTATATACTATTGTCCACATTTCATTTAATTTGAGATAATAACAAAGATTCAAGACCAAATATTAGGAATGCATCTAATCCTTCAATTATTCTTCGTTCATATACTTTCCTCAATATAAAAGAAAATAATAGAACCCACCCCGAGTAACCCAGATGGTTGGGAGGTTCCAATATGACTTCCACGGTATTGGGTTTAATTTCTAAGCTGGGTTATTAAAAAAAATGAGGGACCTCACTTAAGTTTGATTAAGATTTAACCACTTGAGTTAATTTATGAGTGAAAAAATAGTGACCTAGTTCAAAGAAGCTAAATTATTTGATGGACTTACATGTCAATCATATAATATGGAAGATTTTTCTAAATCAAATGAAAATATGACAGATCAATATATAAAAATCCAATTTTCAAGGGTATAAGTATGTATTTCGAAGGTAAATATGCAAAAATAAATAAATAAATACATTAAAAAAATATTGATATGCCATAACCGAGCTCAAATCAGTTCACACTCAAGTGACTCAATTAGAAGACCGTTGGATTCCAAACCTAAAGATTAACAAGTTATAACTCTTCACCGAGAGATGAACTCAGTGATGATTCAAGGGACAAAGTAATGTCATGTCGAGTAAATATGTTTTTCATCAGGTGCAAAAGTTATAATTTTGACACCTGGTCAGTGATGCTATTATCAGTTCGTGTTTATGTATCTATAGGAACAAAGAGATCAATTTTTTTTTTAATAAAAGGGATAAAATCATTTGTAGCCAGCAATGTATGTCACAAGCTTAGCTGCTGTTGAGGTTGTAAGACCATCTCCAACGGGCCTCTATATCTCCAAAATCTTCAAATTTGGAGAGTGGAACCTCTCTAACCACTCTCCAAATTTGAAGATCTTCAAATTTGACCCTCCAAATTTGGAGGGTGAGGAGAAAAAATGGAGAGCATCTCCATAATACTATTCATGGTTTATTAATTACAACTTTGCCATTTTTAACTATTTGATTTCTTAAAAATTACCACTTTGCCATCCTTCTTATTAATTTAAATTAGATGTTTAATTTCAAATAAATATAGTTAAAAAATTATTAATCTAATATTTGAAAGCATTATATATTTGGAAAGGGCTCGTTGAGATCTTTAAAATAAAACTAAAATTAATTTATTTTAGTATTATTATAAAATTATTAATTTTTAAATTAAATAAATAAGTATCAGACATGAAACTTTAAATACGGGGATCTATTTAACTTGCTCCATAAGAAAATACAAGCATAAATTATAATATGTTTGCGACCTATGGTATGTTGTATTAGAGGTTAATATTTGCTTTCTTGTTCTATCGATGTATGCTTTCGCTGTTATTTTAGATTTTTTTTCTTTTTTAATATGTTGTATTACAGTATTAATATTGGATTCATTTTAAAGCTCTCATCGACACCTTTATAATGTTATAAATTTTTTTTCCAAATAAATTATTAACAATAAAATTATTAACGTAAACTATATCCAAAATTGTTTAATTTATATGGCTTTTTTTGATAAAAATAAATAAAAAGAAAAACATTTGGAGAGTGTGGGTTGGAGCAACCCTCCAAGTCCAAATTCCACCCTCCAAATTGGAATATTCCTAGAATATTCCAATTTGGAGGGTGAAATTTGGAGGGTATGGTTGGAGATGCCCTAAGGGCACGCGATGGTGGTCAAAATTATCGATCAACTCTGTAGATGTCAGTTGTGGTCTGAGCCTGGGAGAAAATACAGCTCTTGCTTTTTCTGGAGCTTTTCAGGTATTCTTGATCTTCAGTGTTGTGATTGCATCATTTCCATTACTCCTCTTTGAGTGATGACCGTATATGCATACGGTCACTCGTGATGCAAGAACAAAAAAATTCGTTCAAATATGCAATTACGTGTTGCCTCCTTCCTACGTAGTTAGTTATATGTTGATTTTATTATGCGAACATTCTTTTATTACATTTTTTCTGCTTCTTTTCAATAAATTTAACCCTCTACCTTCGAGAGGGTGGCCTCAAGCTTGTCAAAATTAGAGGAGAAGCCATGCAGGTTTGCATCCGAAACGTCGCTGCATCTACCCGAGTTCTGTGAAACTTACTGAAGCTATTGTTAATTTATTCAAGGTGTTGATATTACGATTTCCTTTCAGGATTTCAGGATGCTGCTGATAGTTAGTGTCATAGGCCTGGATTCAGAAAAAGTACAATTGTTATGTGATGCAGCTAATGAGGAAGTTGATGAAAAAAATAAAGTTCAAATTGCGAACTTTCTATGCCCGACATCATTCACTCTCATTTTTTTTCAGTTTTGTAGCATTGTTTGAACAATTGTCTTCTAACTGAAATTAGTTTTAATTTGAGGGTAATTGTGCTGTCTCTGGTGGTGTCAACGGAGCGGAAGCAGTCGAAGCCAAGGCGAAATCTTTGAAGGCACGGATGACAGTAATTTATAGAAACCCTTCAAGTGTTTGTCATGCGCATTGCGCATGGGATAAAACCTTCAAAGGTTGCTACTTGCGGACCTCGATTCCTCTTCCTTCATTAACCTTAAACATTCTACATTCTATGCTAGAAGCTGGGAATGTGGCAATATAAATGTGCACGCGAGGGAGGGATGAGATCGAAGAGAAACGAAGAAAGAACAACTGTGGTTTGCTTGCCTGAACATCCAATAACCTCAATTTTTTCGATTGTTCCCTTACAGTGAGGTATAGTTTCATTGCCTGAAACAAAAAAAAGTAATTAACTTCATCAAAATGCCTCAAAATCTTCAGAATTTTGGTGTCCTGAGGCCGTAAGATGCAGCACGCCATGAAATCGTCTGTTGCGGATAATTCAACGTAAAAGAGTGCGTAGCCATGTCATGGGGCTTGTTTTGAGAGCCAAAGTTTCCAAATTTTCATGTGTAAAATGTGCAAAAATCAAATGTGCGATATTTATTTAGTGATTTTGCTACGCTCAAAATCTTCGATTGGTATCATATGTCTCGTTGATCCAAAGAAACGTGCCTCTAAATTGTATATACCTTGAAACTGATCGAGGCTACTATCACTTCCAGAATCATCGAAGGTCCTACCGTAAACCATTCCAAATCCACGCTGTCGAGCTGTAATTAACTTTGTTTCTCTATATAAGTTAGTTAACCGCTTGCATAATCTTGAATGACCTCGTAATTACATATGACAATGTTTTGAATTTCCTGCTCAAACTCGAGTCGCGCCTTCATCAAACTCTCGCCCAATACATTGTCTCGCCAACTACATTGCATTCGATTGAAGATGATGAGCGCAGTAGTTAAACTAGCATCCATCAAACAGAGGCACACCTGAAAACATCATTCGTTTCGAAAACGAGCTTTGCTATAGAAACGTAAAATATGGGACTAACAGGGGGACAGGTGAAGTATCCCCCACCTATTACATAATGAGCTGATTTGGGTCCTTGAGGAATTTTTCTTAAAAATTAACCAAACAAAATTTAATCTAGAATTAGTTCAATAAAATCAATTTTAGACTTGGGGCCAACTAGAGCTGGTTCAAAAGTAACCCAAAATATGGGACTAACAAAGGAACAGGTGAAATACCCCCCTCCTATTGCATAATAAGCTGATTTGGATCCTTGCGAAATTTTTCTTAAAAATTAACCAAACGAAATTTAATCTAGAATTAGTTCAATAAAATCAATTTTAGACTTGGGCCAAGTAGAGCAGGTTCAAAAGTGAACTAGGTTAACGTCAAAGTTGCCAGATAGAGCCTTGACAACTCCACAAAACTAGTTTTAGTGGGCATAATCTTGGTATAAAACCTAGTTTTCAATTTGACAATATTCAGAAAAAGAAAATAGAACTATCTTTAGTTCAAATTCGTGGCCTAGAAACTAGTCCTCTTCTATGCGGACCAAACTCTGGCCTTGCTAAGCTAAAACTAGTTCAAACCCAACCCAATTTTGGAATTGCCAAACAAATTCAAGAAAAACCCAATCCAAGGTGTTCATACATTAAACAACCATTAAGTAACATACGCATTAGGTACCATAAAAAAGCTCAAATCTAGAAATGAAAATTTCACTTAAAGAAATACTAGAATATATGAGCGATCAAAGATCCCTCATAGAAAACAAGGCTGCTCGAGGAAACAGTATCATTAAAACAAAATTTAAGACAAACAAACAATAGGAGTCACCATAATTTTCTGCTCATAAAAAACATTCGATTGACTAAAGCACATCGCGCCAAAAACTGTCCTAAGGTTCAAATAATGCCCATTAAATAGACGTAATGCAAGTTCATGCGCTCTCGGTCACAGGGTATTCGAAAACCACATCTTTACCACAAAGTCTGCGGTA